TCTTAGACATGTACAGACATTTTCCTTTGTTCAATATTTGGTTGTGTGTAAATATAAATCAGCATTTGATCACGTCAGGGAGGCAGTGGATACCGCTGACTGACACGGAAGTGTATCATTGGTGATGTGTTACATATGTATGTGCAACTCAACAAGCATATACACTTACCTTTCTATTTACATATCATGATATAACCATATTTGGTCAGGGGGCTGGGGAAAACCACCGGTTGATGCAGAAGGCAAACCGCTCTACGGAGATGTTTTCGGACCACAGGATGGGGAGGGTTCAGGCGTGACCCATAATCTGGATGATGCCGTCAACAAAGCCGAGAAATGGGGCGCCATTGCAAGCGACAGCGAAGAAGAAGAGAGCAGCGAAGAAGAGAGCGAAGAAGAGGACGAGGCTGAGGGTATGTTTACTTTAATACTTATTTATATATCCTTTTATATGCACCTATATATATACATATAAGGTACATCAGGTGTAACTCATTCGATAACTTTCACCGTCACAGTGTATGGCATATTACAATAGATCTGTGTGGCGCATAGATGGGGCAAGTGTAAACACAGACGGTCTAGACCTTACGGCATAAACCCTATGAATCAAAACCTTAACCCCCGTGCTACCCTATTTTCAACTCCCTGCGTGCACAGAGGAGTTAATCCCTAAACCTCTTGTATTAAAATCTCTTCACGCACAGATGAGATGAGCGGAACGCGTACGGAAACTGGACTGGACACTCCGAGTGGGTACTCCACCATCGCAGGTCTAGAAACACCCGACATCATTGAGTTGCGGAAGAAGAAGATTGACGAGCAGATGGACAACAGTAAGTTCGGTACACATATAGGTGCACCCAAGCTTGAAGCTTGAAATTGTATAAGAGTTGCAGGCGAAATTATATACACATATACATGACACTTGTTGTGCACTGTTGTCCGCCTATGCACACCCACTCAACCATTATATATCCACTCAGTTTCCAACCTCAACTTCAGCCGAACCCCGAGTCTGTAAACTAATGTCTACCTTTGCGCATGCCGAATGCATACACCCCGCTTTCTCCCAACGCCTATACATAAAGCCCAGGACTAAGACTAACACCTGCACTCCATTCCCCCACCTCAACCTCAACTTCTTCAGCCGAAGCCCCGAGCCTGTACACTGTGGTACCGGAGAAGGCAGCTACAGGCCAGGGTGGTAATCTGATGGGCTCGGCACACACATACGACATGTCAGGTACTTCGGGTAAACGTAAAGCCGATGTGCTGGACACCGCCGGTGGAGAGGGTGTGGAGTTGGCGCTCGACCCGACGCAATTGGGCGATGAGGAGGCTATACGAGCTGCGTATGAAAAGAAGATGAAGGTACGTGTATGGCCATGGTGTTTGTGTGATTGTGAGGAAGTATGGCTGTACACTTGTGTGTACATGAATGCAGAGTGTATTGCTGTGCAAGTGTGCGCGGGAAGTGTGTTGGATAGTCGCTTGACCCGACGCAATTGGTTACGTTATTTGCATGTATTGTGAGATTGAGAGTATATATATATTTATATATATATATATATATATATATATATAAGACACACGCTCATGTTTGTTGCGCGTACTATTGT